AGTATGTTGTAGAATTCTATGAACTGATTGAACCTGCAGAATCGTAAAGTTCTTTGATGAACAGATTCTGAGATACAGGGCGTTGAAGTTACAAATCGGTATTTTTCATTTAATTATTTTCTCGAAATTCAAAGATGCCAAGTACAATTTTCTTCGCTCATATCAATAACGAACCTCCATATTACTCAACATAATTCAGATGGTTCAGATGATGTAATTGTTTACAGAGTGAAACATATAAACATTTCAGTGATGTCTGAAAATTCGATGTAATAATGAAATATCGAAAAAATAATTTTGGCATGCAATATACTATTCTCATTCCATCATGAATCACAATTCATACATTTCATACAGGGTGATTTGAAAAATTGGTGACACCTAAGACCGATTTATTCATACACATCCTGTATATTCGAGTGAATTGTTAACCTTTCAAGATAGCTGATACCGTATGAACATGATTTCGTTGAGATATATAGGGTGATCATGAAGATTTTCGATGATGAAAATGACAAAAAATCGTGTTTTTTGAAATCACCCTGTTATTCATGATCAACTCGGTGAAATTCCCTAATTATTTTTCAATATATTCATCATTCGCTCCTCAACGCTGTCTTGAAAATTCAGTTTCCTATCATGACGGGTGTCATAGTTATTAATTCAGGAACTTATACCATTTGCATGAAGGCCATGAAGAGTTGAAGAGACTTGTTCACTTACATTCGCATAGTGGCCGATATTTTTCACAAATAGTGAAACGTGAGAATGTGGAGACGAAAATAAGTTTAGTATTCATATACAGGGTGAACATTGGAAATTCAATAACAATAGCAGATATATGAATTTAATAATATTAATATAATGTACAGATAGTTAGGCGAATTTCGATTCCAGGATTCAACTCTCCCTATTAGAAATGGAAGCGTGAAAGACCGAATCATTCTCCCATCTCCTAGGTATTGTTCGTTTTTCATTTTGGCAGAGCTTGTATACCAACGAAATTCGCCTAACTATATATTATTAAATTCATATATCTGCGATTGTTATTGAATTTCTAATGTTCACCCTGTATATGAATATTAAACTTATTTTCGTCTCCACATTCTCACGTTTCACTATTTGTGAAAAATATCGGCCACTATGCGAATGTAAGTGAACAAGTCTCTTCAACTCTTCATGCAAATGGTAAGTTCCTGAATTAATAACTATGACACCCGTCATGATAGAAAACTGAATTTACAAGACAGCGTTGAGGAGGGAATGATTAATATATTAAAAAATAATTATGGAATTTCACCGAGTTAATCATGAATAACAGGGTGATTTCAAAAAACACGATTTTTTGTTATTTTCATCATCGAAAATCTTCATGATCACCCTATATATCTCAACGAAATCATGTTCATACGGTATCAGCTATCTTGAAAGGTTAACAATTCACTCGAATATACAGGATGTGTATGAATAAATCGGTCTTAGGTGTCACCAATTTTTCAAATCACCCTGTATGAAATGTATGAATTGTGATTCATAATGGAATGAGAATAGTATATTGCATGCCTAAATTATTTTTTCGATATTTCATTATCACATCGAATTTTCAGACATCACTGAAATGTTTATATGTTTCACTCTGTAAACAATTACATCATCTGAACCATCTGAATTATGTTGAGTAATATGGAGGTTTGTTATTGATATGAGCGAAGAAAATTGTACTTGGCATCTTTGAATTTCGAGAAAATAATTAAATGAAAAATACCGATTTGTAACTTCAACGCCCTGTATCTCAGAATCTGTTCATCAAAGAACTTTACGATTCTGCAGGTTCAATCAGTTCATCGAATTCGACAACATACTGAAAATTCAGAAAATTTCACCGAGAACCATTTTACGTACTAAAAGTGCGGGGTCCTTTATGAAATTTTCTATTATATCGACATCGCACATCTACATACACATTAGGTATATAAATGAAAGATTTCACGTACATGTTGTACAACGTATACAGGGTGTATCTAAATAACACCGAGAAAATTTAAGGGGTGATTCCTAACGAAGTTAAGTGTGTCCTAACTTGCTTAGTTTTCGAGATACAGGGTATTATAATCATGAAGAATATTTTTTCTATTCATTTCTCAATTGTCTTTTCATCAATTTCATTAAAACGTTGTGGTTTTGTCAATAGTAATATGGAGCTTCTTCCAGTGCAATTGAATTCGAAATAATATTTCCAGTGGCATCACAGCCCAGTTAACACCCCTAATAACACATTTATGTCCCATGGATGTCCTTAGGACGTCCTGTCGAGACATTCAGGACGTCCATAGGACGTTCGAATTTGGTACCATGGCCATTGGACGTCTGTGGGACGCACAAATGTCCCACTTGAGGACCACTTAGGGACGTCCTTGAGGGACAACTATCGAGGACAACCTTTCAGCAACGCTGAGGGATATCAATTGGATGTCCATAGGATGTCCCAGGGACGTACGAATTATTCGTGAATTTGAATTTTTCTGGGTCCTTCTAGGACCAGATCTTGCATAACTGATGAGGAAATCCAGTTAAGTTGATGGTCCGTGGAAGGTCCCAAAAAAGTTTCCCAAGGATGTCCAATGGTCTTACGTGGAGGACATTGACACGGAGTACTTATAGCCTATATGAGCAATCATTCGTCGGCGAGGTGTAAGTTAACGTCCTCGCAGGGACAGCAAATTGAAAGTACCGACTGGGACGTCCATAGGACGTTATATCTAGGACATTGGAAAAGTACAGTTTATGTACCAAATGGGACGTCCGAAGGATGTCCCTAAGGGACATTCCGATTGTTATACGATCCTGGAAATATTAAGGGCGTCTGTGCAGAGATATTTGAAGGAATGTACTATCAGGGACATTTTATGGTTGTCTAGAAGGCGCATTATATGAGATATGAAGTCAAGCCAGAATATGTACTACTCGGGACATCCGATGGATGTCCCTAAAGGAACGTTCAAAATCATATCCCATCAGGGACATACCAAGGACGTCCTTGCATGGACATTCTACAATATGTACCACGTGGGACGTCTAGGGGATGCTATTTCTAGGACATTTGAAATGATGTACCAGCTGGGACATTCCGTGGACGTCCATACTCGGACATTGCATGAGATGTACGGGATGGGACGTCCCAAGGACACTTATTTTTTGTCCGGGACATTCGGACTTGAATTGTACCAAATTGGGGCGTCCCTAGGACGTTGTGTGCTATTAGGGACAGGATATCTTATATGGATATACATTTCAAGCCCTATTCAAGGCGGGATATCCGTGGACATAAAATGTATATCCATATATAAGATATCCGATTTCGGATGTACTTGAGATATCCGAAACAAACGTCCTGAATACGTCCATAGGATATCCATAAGATACAGAGACAAAAGATCAATACCTAGAAGTTTAAAATCAAGTATATACAATGAATGAAATGATAAATAAATAATAGAAGATCCACAAAAGTAACACTTATTGTGCGTGGGTCTTCCAAAAGATAGCACACATTGTGATGCACTATCTGCTATTATTATCAATTCGGTTTTCAAAAACAGCGCGAGGTGGCGTAACGTCTCAAATAGTCCAAGATTGGTAGAACTGATGATTATTTATAGATCATCGATTCTACTAACCTTGGAATAGTCAAATATAATGTCAATCTGTTCTCATATTCAATTAATTTGAAGTGAATTTGGAAGTGATTTCTACAATATCGTCCAAAATTGATGATGCATAAGAACTGACATCTACATTATTCGAACGCAGTGAGACGTGGGTGCTTCCCAATTTTCGTGAATTTTTCTATATATAGAGTATACTATCTCTTATCCATATCCATTGTTGATATCTTATGTATATCCATAATGCATATCTTTAAGACATCCAAAAAGGTCACACTGTCACATCCTTTGGACGTCCATAGGATATACCAGAGCCTTTTTCGGATATCTTATGGACATCTACAATATCCATGATGGATATCCATAGTATATCCATAGGATGTACTTGTGTTATCTGGGAGTGGGTTAATGTATCGATATTCATGGTGAATGTCATTGTACACCACCGGTTTTCTTCTGAGTTTCATATTTTTCTCAGATTGAACTATTGGAATAACAACTTTTTCATCTTCTGTGTGAGTTTATATCTAGCTTAGTTTTTGGGGAAACAATAAAAATTCAATTTGACTCCAAATTTCAATTTAAATATAGGTTTTCCCAAGACTTCCACTGAGATTACTCAATAACCCCAATTAGAATCGTTATCAAATTTTGGGGCTTCCTCAGTCTCCATACATACTGAATTTTGGCACCATGAAAGCTCATACGGGGGGATTATAAATAAAAACAATTAATACTTCCAATACCGTCTGTAGATTAATCAAGGCGGTAGTACATTCATTATTCCAAATTTTTTGGGATTTTCTCTCCTCGTTTCAAATACGGAGCAAGGTAGGACACATGTTTACTGAGATGATATGTGGACACACAGTATGGTGACTGAATGTCAAGGATGTGATGGGTGTCAAGAGGAGTTTGTCATATTATTATTATCTGTCTTGTTATGTTACATGTTAACTGAAATACACTATTTGATCATAACGCTAGATTCGAACCTCATACTATTACTTGCTAGACATAGCACCACATGGCGCAGTCGGTATTTTAATTCGAGTTTAGTGAAGTGATTCTTTGTCGTGTTTTGTTACGAATTACTGGAAGATGCCTCCCAAGAAGGAACAAGCCAGTTCGTCTCTGACGGTTCCCACGGATCCTCAGGAACTAATGAAACTGTTGATGCAGCAACAAGCTGTACTCAACACATTGACCACACAAATCGCAAACATGGCGACAACTGCTGCAGGAACACTTCCAACATCACCGAGCCACCCTCCACCGGTAAAGACACTCCCAATGCCTAAACTCAGCTCTCCAGAAACTCTGACTATTCCACAGTTCAGGGATTGGAGACAACGTTGGGAAGACTACAGCAGATCTCAGCAGCTTCAGAGCCAACCCATTGATTCCCAACAAGGAATCCTAAGGTCAGCCCTGGATAATGAATGGACCATGCTCTGGAACTCTAGTAGAATCAGAATATCACCATCTACAGATCTCTCTATCATAATCGAATTGATGGAAGCATATTTACGCCGACGCCGTAATCCATTACTGGATCGTCAGGCATTCCACCGACGAGATCAACAGCCTGGTGAGTGTGTTGACCGCTACTTTGCAGCGCTAAAAGAGCTCGATGATGCCTGCGACCACGATGCAGAGTTCAAATGCAAAACTTGCAATGATCCTTGCCACACAGAGTGCAATAAGTGTAGCATGGCGTTCCCGTTAACAAGCCATCTTCAAGAGATCCGGATACGGGACCGACTAATCTGTGGACTTATCGACAAAGACATGCAACGGAGAGTTTTAACTGAACAATACACCTCAGAGATAACTCTGGACCATGTGTTATCTATTTGCACAGCAGTAGAAAATTCGAAAAAAGTTGGTGCTTCGTTAGCTAATACCACGCATTTCTCACTAGATATAGCTGCATCTAGGAGCAAGTCATCTTACAAGAAAGAGCAGCAATCACTCAAGAAAACTGGGTACAATTCAACAACATGTTTACGCTGTGGAAAAGATAGACACCTCAATGAAGAGTGTCCCGCAAGAAATCACAAGTGTGAGTACTGTAACCGTGTTGGGCACTACAAGAAAATTTGTATGAAGCGGTCAAGGGCCGTTAACAAGAAGGACACAAGGCCGTCATCAGCTACGTCACCAAATTCAGCTAACAACGCGAACATTGGTTCATCTCCAGTACTACTCCAGATTCCAACACTTATCAGCGAAGTTATACACCATATCAACTGGCTTCCTGATACTGGCGCAGACGTTATGGCAATCAGTCTGAAAGACTTAGAGAAACTAGGTCCTGTAGCAATCAAATCTCTAAAGGAGGAAATTGTCGATGTTAACGCTACCAACGGCATTGGTTTAGGACCTATCGGCTCTATACCAGCAATCACCCTCTTGTTAAATGGAAAACAGTTCACAGCAAAACTGGGCGTTTTCAAAGACGTACACCAGCCTTTACTCAGCCGTGAAGCCTGCATGGAATTGGGTTTGATTGATGAGGATTGGCCACTTTCAAAGGTCAACTCTATCAAAAATGTTCAGAGCATATCACGTGGGACATCAGAACTAATCACTGTCAATCCCACAGTTACTTTGAACGCGGAAGAAGAGACGAAGAAGCTCATCGCTGAATTTTCTTCTGCTTTTAATGACACTATCTTACGTCCTATGGAGGGTCCTCCAATGAAAATAGAAATAATAGAAGGTGCAGTACCAGTTAAACGTTACAAGCCACATACAGTCCCTTTTCACTGGAGAGATCAGGTACAACAACAACTTTCTATCATGGAACAAAAAGGAGTCATCGAACGTGTCCCAATTGGCGAACCAGTGGATTGGTGCCATCCGATGGTGGTTGTGCCTAAGAAAGGTTCAGCTGAACCACGTATCACTGTTGATCTCACTGGTCTTAACAGGTTCGTACGAAGATCAGCTTACCCAATGCGAGTCCCTAGAGAAGAAATAGCAAACATTCCACCTGGAAACATCTTCTTCACCACACTAGATGCTCGTCATGGATACTGGCAGGTCCCACTGGATGAAGAATCTAAGAAATTGACATTTTTTATCACCCCGTGGGGCACGTATCGCTATTGTCGCAATGTGATGGGTCTTGTTTCAGCAGGCGATGAACACAATCGTCGTGGAGACGAAGCACTCCAAGGAATTTCCAATGTTATCAAGATCGTGGAAGACATCCTGATTTATGACATTGACTATGACACTCACATCAAACGTGTCAAATCTGTAATCAAACGATGCGATGAGTACGGGATTACATTAAACGCCAAGAAGGTCGTTCTTGCTCAACCGGAAGATGACTGGTGTGGATTCAGGATCAACAAGTTCGGATATACCCCTGCTCCACATCTTGTATCAGCTCTCAGAAATTTTCCTACTCCAGCTTCCAGAACAGATGTTCGATCATTCTGTGGACTAGTTCAGCAATTCGAAGCATTTTCTCATACATTAACGGAATTGTTGGCACCCATTCGATGTTTACTTTCTGGAAAAGCAGTCTTTATTTGGGAAGCCACACAGGAACGGGCATTTCGAGCAGTTATCGACGAGTTAACTAGCCCCAGGATCCTATCTCACTTTCAGGGAGGAAATCCGTTGCGTCTTGAGACAGACGCTGCACAATCAAGAGGACTAGGATATGCCCTCTGGCAAAAGCAAGACGATGTATGGAAGCTTCTCCAAGCAGGATCTCGCTTCGTGACACCCACAGAATCGCGCTATTGTGCAACTGAAGTGGAGCTATTGGCAGTTGTCTGGGCTGTAAAAAAATGTAGATTATATCTTCTTGGACAACCTTTCGAGCTTATAGTGGACCACCGCCCACTTATAAGTATCATCAACAGTAAAACACTGGATGAAGTGGAAAATCCACGGCTACAGCGAATGAAGGAGAAACTTCTTTCCTTCCGCCCACAAGCGGTTTGGAGACCTGGCATCAAGCATACCGTTGTCGATGTGTTCTCTCGTTATCCCGTCGCAGATCCAGATGAAGAAGATCTAGACGAGGAGCTAGACGCTGATCCCATTCTGCTTCATATTGCGGTACTCGAGAGGAATCAATGTAGTCCCTCTGTTATCTCAGATCCCATCATGATTGGTGTTCGACAAGCTGCTCAGATAAGCAGCGAGTACCAACGTTTGAAAGATGTCATCATCCATGGATTTCCAGAGAAATGCAAGCTTGATGTGGATTTACATCCATATTGGCGACTTCAGGATGACCTCTTTCTCGAAGACAACCTCATCTTCATGGGTTCACGATTACTTATCCCCACAACACTCCGACCAGCTGTACTCAAGAGTCTGCATGCATCCCACCAAGGACAAGAGCGAACACTTCGTCGAGCGAGACAAGCTGTATTCTGGCCTGGCATAACAAATGACATTCGGAACGTGGTGAGAACTTGCAGAGAGTGCGCTACACATCTACCGCAGCAGCAGAAAGAACCTAGGTACGATGACACACTGCCGACCTTTCCATTCCAGGCAGTATCTGTTGACCTGTTCACCTACGCTGGAAACAGCACCAAATGGAGACGTTCACTCGCAGAAGTTTCTCCTCGGTTTGATGGAATTACGAAACACTCCAAGAGCGGATGGAAGAAGTCCTGCACAGCTTGTATATGGCGCTCCAACCAGAACTACTGTCCCCTTGGCTCGCCACCAGTTCGACGAGTCATGGAAAACAAAAATTTTTGAAGTGGATCGTCGCGCTGTGAGCCTGAGAGAAAAAGCAAGCATCCGATACAATGCTAATGCCAAGCCTCTCGGTGAGCTCAAGCCTGGAGATATCGTATTAGTATACGACTTCAAAACGAAAACATGGGGTCAACTTGTGGAAGTTATCGAGAAACTACCTCGAAGAAGTTACCTAGTCAAATCTGAATCAGGGCGACTTTTTCGACGTAATCGTCGGTTCCTTCGTCGATTCTCTCCAACTCAGGTTGATGCACCAACATCTGAAGTCACGTCTCTTCAGATTCGTCGATCACCAAGGTTGCAAGAACCCTCTTACGTCGGATGTGTCCAAAGGTCACATCTTAAGGGAGGGCATGAGATGATATGTGGACACACAGTATGGTGACTGAATGTCAAGGATGGGATGGGTGTCAAGAGGAGTTTGTCATATTATTATTATCTGTCTTGTTATGTTACATGTTAACTGAAATACAGTATTTGATCATAACGCTAGATTCGAACCTCATACTATTACTTGCTAGACATAGCACCACATTTACATGTTAGCCGAAGGATGTTAATGTATATGCAATGTTTTCGTCACAGAGACATATCTCCTAGGGCTAAGTTCTTCATACAGGTAATCTCACTGGGGATAACCAAGGGGTAGGGGAGTTGTTCAGTCGTTATCACGACGAGATTGGGTAGATTCAACACGATTACCTCGCGGCAGTAATCAATTTCGGTGCGATGCCGTCAAGGAGTATGTATTTTGCAGTTGGCGAGATGCAGTTGGCAGTTCTCTCTTCATAGAAAAATGTTCAAGGGAATGCGAACCACAGTGAGCTAAGCTTCTCTCTGCCACGCCTGACGACTAGTCGCTCGGGAGATTCAACTTTTTTTTATCTCAAGAAAGTTATCGTAAAATACACTTTATAGAAAGAAGGTACATCTAGGTCGTTCTAGGATATCAAGGAAATGGAAGGAAATTAAAGAAAAGGTTGCTCCGCTGGAGATGCGAACCTGTGTACTATCTTGTGATCAGCATTGAGGCTACAGACGAATAGGTTGTGTCAGGGTAAACATTATGAGAATTGATACAAGAATAGGAATATGAACAATGTTCTGAAATAAGAATATTTGAACGTTGTCAGAATATTCATAGAATATTCTGTGCTATCTGATAGGTACATGCATACAGGATACAAGGGGATAATTTTTTTTTCTACGGCGAAGTAACCTTCTCAATTGTCCAAAGTCAATAGGTTTGTTCTCAATCGAAAAATAAACAGTCCGAAACCATCGGAAGCATGCGCAGTTTCACAGAACAGTATAGGTACACATTTTTCAAGTTCCGTGGAACTGCGCATGCTTTTCTGATGGTTTTGGACTGTTTATTTTTCGAACATGAACAAACCTTATGCATATGTATGGACTTTCAAAAACTTTGAAGGTCAATAATTCCATAACGAAGTGCGATATACATTTTTTTGATATGAAGTAAGTACTAATTACTGATTTTGGCTAACTCTTTCAGCTATATATCATTCACGACATGACCTTTCCGGACACCCTGTATGACGACCTCTTCCTCAGTTTCGTTTCGTTGCCGTGCCGGTTCTGTAAATATCGAATATACAGGGGTGATTCATTCAAAATGGGAAATTTCTGAACTACAGAGTGAACACTGAAATATCAAGATTT